ACTTGCTAAAATGGGTTTTTCTGTGGCTTTGGAGCCTGTCCTGGAATTCACTCTGCCAACCAGGCTGGCCTTGAACTCATAAAGATCCACCTGCCTCTGCCTCCAAGTGGTGGGATTAAAGGCATGTGCCACCAACGCCCTAAACTTAAAGGCTTGTGCCACCAATGCCCTAAACTTAACTTCTGAAAACATAAACTGTAACATCTTAGAATAGATTAGCATCTTTTATAAAACAAGAACTTTACATTGTCAGGCTTTGCTTAAAAATGATTCTAAATTGAAGCTCTTTAAGTACAAACATTAACAAAAAGAGACATTTAAAAAAACATAAACATTTAAAAAAACGGTTTTAAAAAGAAATTTAAATTCCCTTAATGTCTTTCTGTAATATATAGAAGTATTAACAATTTAAATCTTAACTGAAAAACTTGTTTCTAGGATGGTACCTCTAATTTCCAAGCGGTCATCTTTAGTCAAGATGGCAGTTTAAGTATCTTTTTTCAACTTTAGCAAAATGGCTACCAGTCAGTCATTTTGTGCCACATGGCTGGCTACAAAATGGCAGTGACCCTCGCCATTTGTTTTAGCTACATGCTTGTAACAGAACTTAGGTTATGCCAGGAAACAGAACATTTTAAAAACAAGTATACATAATTTACTTGAGAAATAAACAGGACCTTTTAAACAGAATTAACTTAATATGGTTAAATTTTTAACTTATGTTACCAATTATTAAAATTTACTATTTGTAGACATGAGAAACCATAACAAACAGTTCACATTTTTCTCTTTTAATAACCTTTTCTCTGACCCTCTATGACTTGCTTTAACCCTCTATAACTTTCTATATACCTTTGGTTTATTCCTCTGATTTTCTTAAACATTCTTAGAAAAATTTCTCTTTTTCTTTTTTTATTACTTTAGTACATTCTCTCTCATTTTTCAGTCAACATAAAAATTCTTATCAAAGTCCCTTTTGTAATTTTTAATAACTTTAAGGCCATTTTATTTTATTTTTTTTGTTTTAGAACGTCCAGATCAGGCCAGATGGTTCACCCTCCCGAGCTCCATGTGCTCATGGCAGAGACCTGGGGGGGGGGATTGCTGGTAATCCCAGACCCTCCACCAATGCAGGGGTGGGAAAAAAGACCCCCCCACCGTCCCCCTGCATACCACGTGGTGTGTGGAGCACAGAGAAGGCCAGGCAGCCAGGCAGATGGCGGCCTTGAAGCCATGTGCTCAGAGTAGGGAAACTCCAGTCGCAAGCCAGGACCCACAACATAA